GAGAAGATCACAAGCGGAATGCAGGACCCTATCCAGAAGATCACAAGCGGAATGCAGTCAAGAAACTGAACTCAGGTCCCTAGAGAATAAAGGTTCATCCCAAGAGGTTCAGGTTCTATGTCCAGACAAGCAGGGACACCAGAGATGGAGACAGAGATGAGGACATGGAGAGAGGGAGCAGCTGAGGACTATGATCTCATGGAACGAGAGGGACTGGGTGCTGGCGGCCAGGAGGAAGGCTTACAGAATGTGTTCTTTTGTTGTTGAAATTATTATATATCCCTGAGTCTTTTTGTGTACATTCCCCCCAAAACAAATAAAAATACAGAGGAAATGGAAACAAATACTGTTGAATGATGATGCACAGAGGAGATTATAATCATTGCAATGAAACAGTGTGTAATGATGTTCTCCAATGTAAACTATCACTCAGTTCATAATAAAAAAAATTTTTTTAAATACATTATAGAATTTTCCCACAAACTTTTTGAAGCCCCCTCATATTTATTGAGAGTGCACATAGTGTTCTCCTATATTCTCCACTATCACATTGTTGTAAGTGATGATTTACTTGTTGTTTTCCTCACTGTGTACTCAAATTAATGTTCGTTGGATATAGGACTGAAGGATAGAATCTAAACAAATCACCACATCTTTTGATTTATAGAGTAGTTGACAGCTTTTGTGTGTTTTGGTTAAGTATTGTTATCTCATTTTATCTTTTAGTAAAACCTTATCCATCCTAAGAAATGTTGTATACTCAGTTAGTAGAAAGTCTTAATCATAGGCTGTATTGAAGGAATTACACATATACTGTAACATATCTTAAAGCTAATGATTGATTTTTCTAAGTTAAAGTCCTATGGTTCTAAAGTTATATGGTCTTTGTAGAATGAGAACATATAATCTGTTAGTACATACTTACATTCTGATATTAATATGATGATTAATATATTGTATCTGTATATGCAAATAATGTTAATATGCTTTGAAACAATTTGTTTTATAGCATTTCTCCCTACATTAATATTAACATTATTAAATTTTTTTGTTACTCCCTTTACCTAATGAAAATGTAATCTGGACTCTGCACTCTTCTGAATTATCACAAAACTGGTATACAACCTGACTAAGAGTCTAAGAGTCTTGCATATTATACTTCAGTTTAAGTATATTAGGCTTAACTTGCTATGCCTGGAATTATTTAGAGAATATGCATCTAGAGTACCATACAAATATTGCTATTTTTCATTAGGGAAATGTAAATCAAACCCACAATGTGGTACTACCTCACTTCAACTAGGTTGTCTTATCAGAAAACAGAAAATAATAAATTTTGGCTAGGATGACAGATTGAAGGGGAATGGTGTTGCATTCATTGTTAAAAAGAACATATCCAGAACAATCATGAGGTAGAATAATATCCATGCGCCTACAGGGAAGCCCAGTTAATACCACTATTATTCAAATATATGCACCAACCACTAAAGCCAGTGAGGATGAAATAGAAGAATTCCACCAATTTCTTTAATCTGCAATTGGTCAAACATGCAATCAAGATGTATTGATCATTACTGGTGATTGGAATGCAAAGGTGATTGGAATGCAAAGAGGAAGTTGGTTCAATAGTTGGAAAATATGGCCTTGGTGATAGAAATGATACTGGAGATTTCATGATAGAATTCTGCAAAATCAATGATTTGTTCATTTCAAATACCTTCTTTAGACAGCATAAGAGATGACTATACACATGGACCTCACCAGA